AGAGAGGCCAGGGCCAGGCAGGGAGCGGCTGCGCTGAGGTGCGACGGAGGCCTTGGCTCCGCTGTCTCTGGCTTGGTGCGGCAGGAGGGCTGAACACCGCTTGGGCTCAGCCAGCTGGGGCCCAGTGGAAGGGCGGGCAAGCGGGGCAGGTCTCTGCTGGCCCCAAGACCAGCTGTCCGCACCGTCCTCCAACCCTGTGCAGACAGACACAAAGCAGAGCCAGTCCTTCTGCCGGACTCAGCTCTCAGCGACAAACCCAGGGCTTCTCACACCACCTTAGCCAGCAGTGCCCAAGGCCCAGCATCCGTCCCACTCCCAGGTCAAGGTCCTGTGCAGTCTCCTTGAGGGTTCTCTGAGAGAAATTGTAAAAGACCAGAATTTCCTCGTGTTTTATAGAACTTGTCTACAAAACAGTCTGGGCCTGTTTCCTTGGTAGGATGCTGCTATGTCGCCTTCAGACAGGGTCTCATTGCATAGTTCTGGGTGGCCTTGCACTACGTAGCCCAGGCTGGCCCTAAGTTCAAAGTGATCCTCCTAAAGAATATTAGTACAGGCCTTTCTTGTCACTGAACTAAGAGCAGGTAGCTGTGTATCTACCCTATCTTATATGTACATGTATTTTCCCCCTATAAAATGGTCCTTTTATATCCCTTTTTTGTCAAGATATCACGTCTGTGTCTTATCCTCTGAATAACTACTACAAAGACAACAATATGCAATGTATTAATTATTGTAACTGTCCTACTAACCTGTTTTGAAACTGTTTTATTGCTATTTTAACTTTTCTCATTAAAATGAATTTTTTAAAAATTTTATTTTTTTACTTGCGGAACCAGGGATTGAACTCAGATCCTTGCACTTGCCACGGAAGTGCTTATTCTACTGAGCCATCTCCCCGGCCCCTAAAAAAAAATTAAGTGATCCTCCTGCCTCAGCCTCCTGAGTGCTGGGATTACAGGTATGCACCACCACAGCCAGCCTGGCAGGAAGATACTAAACTACTGTTTGGTCTGTTCAATGCCCACAAGACACTCGTGGGCCCTCTTTCTCCTTCAGTCAGTTTTTGGCAATAACTTTTTCAGGGACTTGTACATGTCTTCCAAGTTGTTTGTAATGTCTCTTTATGACATCTGAGGCCTGTGTGACTTTTTGTTGTTTTGGGGTTTGGGGGGGTTTTTATTTGGGGTGTGGTTTTTTTTTTTTTTTTGGGGTTTGGGGGGGTTTGGTTTTGTTTTGTTGTTTTGTTTTGTCTTTTGAGACTGGGTCTCACTGTGCAGCTCAGGCTGGCCTTCAGCTCACTTTGTGGTCCAGGCTAATCTTGAGATCACAGCACTCCTGCCTCTGCCTGCTGAGCGCGGGGACTGCCAGGGTGCACCTGACGCCCAGATACTGAAGTCTATCAAGGGTCAGGATTATGGGATTTCACTGGTTTTTGGTTTTTTCTATACTGGAAATTGAACCCAGGAAGTATTAAAAACCTTCACCAGCCCTTTTTACTTTATTTGGACACAGAGTTCTGCTACATCACCCAGGCTGGCCTCAAACTTGCCACCTTCCAGCGTCAGCCTCCCGAGTGATCTGGGGCTGCAGGCCTGTGCCACTTCAGCCAGCGAGCGGCACACCCTGCTCTCACCCATGGGCACCCTTCTCCTTTTCTCTTTGGTTTTAATCTTTCTTCCCCTAATTTACAGGTGACAATGACAGCTGGGGACTAAATTGGCCTCCTGCATTTTTCTGTACAGGCCAAGTGCTAAAAGTGATCTTCTTGGGGCTGGTGAGATGGCTCAGTGGTCTAAAGCACCTACTTAGAACAAGCTTAGCAAAGCACAGGGACCGCGGTTCAATCCCCCAGCACCACATGCCAGCCAGCCGCGCCCCCTGGTGGGCTGAGCTGGCCACACACACACACACACACACACACACACACACACACACACACACAAATAAAAAAAAAAAATTAAAAAAAAAAAGTGATCCTCACATTTTTCAAGGGTTGGGGAACGGAGGAAAAATCATGTGCAGGAGACCACAAGTGGCCTTCAAAACCAAAATACCTGTCCTTTAGAAAAAATGCTCTGCCAACCTCTGTCCTCATTTATGAAACTGTTGAGTTATTGATTCTCCACTTTTTTCAACATCACCTAAGGGTATAAAGTCCCTCCTACATGTTAGGTCCTCAAAACTGGACCCCTCCCAACCTGAAACGAAGAACTACAGACCACCACTCTGTTCAAGCAGGAAGACACCCCCAACCCTGAGAGACTAAACCAAATGTTTACCAGGACGGCTCCAGGCTGGTTACGAAGCACCCTGTAAATCCACAGAAAGTCACGCGGTCCATCAGCAGACACCACTATGGTCCTGTACTTCCTCAGGTGCTTCCCGCCAAGGTACCAGACCCACCGAGGGACCCTCCCCTGCTTAAGCTGGTCCCTGAAGCAGATTCTCTTCCTTTGCTCGTCTACGGCCTTCTCACCTTTGACCAGGCAGCACCCAGCCTGAAACAGCTCTCACTGCTTCAATCTTGCCCATGCTAGCAGCCTCAGTCACTCCTTGGGGTCTAGCCTGACCACGCACAGAACTTCAGATCATTTCTGTATCTCTGGTGCTGTGCATCTTCTCCCTTCTATTATGAGCACTATCTCATTTTTCATCCCCATCCCTCCACTCAAGCCTAGGTATCCTTGCTGCCTCCTCTCCCGGGGCCTTTGTACTGGCCATTTCCTGAGTAGAACAGGCCTTTCCAGTTCCCTCCCACTCTTGCCTTCTCTGGTCAGGAGCACTCTCAGGAGCAGCCGCCAATGCCCCCAAGTGGTGGGGACCACAAATGGTAAACTGACATAGGATGCCCTAGGCTCTCCTTGCCCTGTCTGCACCAGGGGCTGGTTTTGAAATACAGAAAAGCACCCAGGAGTGGAGATGCATCCTGGCCAGGTTTCCTTCACGATGCTGGCGAGTGTTGACAGCTGGCTCAGGAGGCCAAGGGGCCAACACAGTCAGGTCTCCTTCCCTAGCCACAGTGGGCTCAGCAGGGCCCAGCCCTGCCCAAAGGACCCAGGGTAGACCACTGAGGTGGGTATCCCAGGGCAGGCAGCCTCCTCCTCACAGCCCACAGGTGCACTCCAACAGCAGACAGAACCGACACAGGCAGCATGGGCCAAGCCAGGGAGACAGCCTGGACAGACAGCACCCTGAGGCCGCGGGACAGCAACAGTGCAGGAACAGCCACACACCCAGGCCTCACCCGCTCCTCAGGACACAGGGCATCCCTGGTCAGCTTACCCTCAGCCCCATCAGCAGAGGGCATGGCAGCCTCCCTGCACAGTCGAGCCGCCCCCAGCTACAGAGCCTCCAGACACCTGCTCTGAATCCTGCCCACCCTGACAGTCTTGGGAAGTGAGTCTCAGATGAAGGTGGCACTGTGGTGGTGGGGGGGGGGGGCACAACGAGGCCAGCACTGAGTAGAGCTCTGCAGAGATCACCCTGCCACGGTTCATCCCAAGACTTCTCACCCAGCCCTGCATGCCATCTGTGGGCCACTGGGGGGCGGGCGGGGGGGCTGCTCTGTGGAGGGCAGGGTGGTCTGAAAGGTCGGCTTGAAGCAAAGCGGGGAGGAGTTCCTGTCTGGGGAACCCCGCAGCATGTGGCCTATGTGGCTGGGAGCGCGGTAGGATGCAGGGGTAGGCGGAGCCCCAAGCTGAGCGGGAAGGCAGTAGCAGGGCATCTCTGTCCTCCGGGCAGTGAGGAGGCCTCACAGCAGCGGGTGTCCCACCCAAATCAGGAGGATCCAACAGAGAGCAAGCCAGGCAGGACGGCCCTGCCTCGGTAAGGAACACAGCCGACAGCTGCGGCAGGGCAGGAGCCGAGGAAACGAGACAGACACAGACCGCTGCTTAGGCCCCCCTGTCCCTGTCCATCAGGGTCCAGGGCTAGGGCAGGTGGGGCTGTGCTCAGCAGGCACCAGGCACCATCTCCGGAGCTCTGGGGACAGGTGGCACTGCCAGCGCACAGCAGTGTGCACACGCTCAGTGCCACCGAGCTGGGTGGGCAGACACTCGGGGAGGCTGAAGCAGAAGCATCTCAAGTTCAAGGACAGCCCAGGCCACGTAGGGAGACCCTGTCTCACACAATACAGATGGCGGGGGTATACCTCAGTGTAGAGGCCCCTGGTTCTGAATCCTAGGACTGAAAAACAGAAAGGGGCAGGCTGGGACACCACCGTCACTGCCCCACCTCCGTGAGGACCAGGGGAGAGGCACTGACTGAAGGGCACTGATGGGTGGGGCCCACTCAGAGAAGGGGCCTGGAGGTGCCTGACACTCAAGGACACTGGCACCTGGCACTGTCCTGGCCTCATTAAGATGTGGACACTCAGCCAGGCGCAGTGACAAGGAAAGGTTGCATGGTTCTGGGCTCCAGCTGAGCAGCAGGCAACAAGAGCAGTGAAGAGCAGGGTCACTGCAGCCCAAGGATGCCCACACCCAACTGGAGGTGCCAGGCGGGGCGGGGCGGGGCGGGGTAGGCAGGGGCAGGAAGGATGGAGGGGGTGGGCACTATGCATGGAGTACAGAGGATGGGGCCATGGACAGGGCCAGGGCTAGGGCCCAAGAAGCCAGGGGAGCGTCTGAAAGGTGCTGGGCTGTGCGAGTTCCAGGCAGAGCCCAAGGCCCCTGGGTGTGGCCAGGCCAGGGTGTGCTCCCTTGGCAGTGCTGGGTGGGGCACAGAACAAGGCTGGCCATCCCTCTCCCAGGAGGGCACAGGGGCAGATGTTCAAACCACCATGAGGGGTTACCACCCAGGCAGGGGCTGAGCTGGGGGACTGCCCAAGCTGGGCACTGTCCCCCACAGGACTAGACTGGGACTTTTTGCAATGCTGGAGACCAAACACGGGGCAACAGCTCTCAGATGCCATCACACAGTGCCACCCAGTGCACACCTGGCCAGGAGTGAGACCTCTGCCCCAGCACTGGCCCCACCCCCAGGGACAGACTGCACTGGAACGAAGCCCAGGTCTCTGTGTGACCAGCCACATCCACTGAGCCACTGCCCTCCTCCCAGGACACTCTCTGTGCACCTCTGCGAGCTCAGGGTCCCGCAGGCAGCAGTCCAGAAAAAAATGGGATGGAAGCCACCATGACTACCTTGTGGTGTTAGGACACCAAGTTCCAGGGAACTTGACCCTAGAAATAAATTTCCTTTGCCTGGGTCAAGCCACCAAGATGACTGTTCCCTGTGGCTTGTCGCCCTGTAGATTCACCATCCACAACCTCTTCTCAGCAGCTCCCTCAGATCAGCCTTGGTGAAAATCCCTGGTTTTCTGTTCTGCAGGAAACCTGAGCTATGAGCAGCGCCAAACCAAGCCTGCAAGGCACCTGGCCCCACCATGGGAACCCTGAGCAATGGGGCGGCCGAGCAGAGCAACACGTTTTATTGAACTCACAGAGGAGGCACCTCAGAGGACCATAGGTTTTGGTTTGGCATCCCCATCACTCAGCCAAGTACAACAGGGCCACCCCCAACCAGAAGCCCATGGCCTGAGCCAGTACAGGATGACCAGACCCAGGAGCACAATGGCCCACAGAGGCCGAGTTGTACCCACCCAGGAGGAGGGTGCCCACCACCAGCCAGGGTCCTGACCACCACCCACATTCACTCTCACAGTAGGCTTCTCACAAAAGGAGCACAGGATGACTCGAGCTTAATACAATGCCCTTCTGAAATTCATTTCAAAATAAAGAAGCTCTCCCTGAACTGTAAAAGCCATAAAAATGCAAAATACTTCTTTAGGAAAAACTGAAACAAAATCAGGCCTTGAAGTTCAAAATAGCAGTAACAGTTTCTGCGCCGAGTGCAGGAGACAGCCTGGCAGGTCAGTTGTTCTCGATCTGCTCCAAGTCCAGGTCACCCTGGTCCAGAGGGAAGATGCCCTCCTCCCCAGCGCTGTCCCAGTCACTGGGGTCCCCACTGCTGCCGCCCTCGCCCTCTTCCTCGCCTGCCTCCAGCTCCCTCGAGGCCCACGGGCTGGCAGGGCAGAGCTGGGCAACCCTCAGGCTGGAGCCAGGAGTGACAATGCCCACGAGGCCCTGCGAGTCACATGGGGAGGACACGACTGTCTTCACCTGGGCATCCTCCTCCTCATCTTCATAGTCCAGTGAGCAGAGGCTCTTCGAGTTCTTCAAAGTCTGCAACAGAAAAAAAGGGCTGAACCCTCTGCTGTGACTGCAGGGCCAGCCTCCCAAGGCCACATGCTGGCCGGGGCCTGCCCAGGGGGGCAACACCAGGGCTTCCAGCCACTGCAGCTGCGCCCACTGGAGAGCACGCAGCTTGCCAGGCCTGACACCTGCCGAGCCCCCAGGCACCATGGCCCTCAGTGTGGGCTGCACTCTGGCCCTTTTCTTTTTGGGTGGGGGGAGGACCTATAGGGATTAAGCCCAGGGGCTCTGCCTGGAACTATATCCCCAGCACTTTAATTTTTTCAGACAAGGTGTTGCTAAGTTTCTCAGGTTGCACTCCAACTCCCCACCCTCCTGCTTTAGCCTCTCAAGAGTGCGAGGCCGATAGGCAGGCACCACCACGCCAGACAAGCCCAGTGCAGTCTCGCACTCAGCAAACAGGGCCAGGGAGGGGCCCATGTTCTCCATGTGCAACCACCTTCCCACGGACAAGGACCAGCATGAGGACGACGCTCCTGTCAGCTCCCTCAGCCTTGGATGGGAGCCTTCCTGTCCATCCCTGGCCTTCCGTACTCACCCATGGAATGTCCCCAAGTCCCACCCCGTCGGCCAGCCCCCACTGGCGCTGCTCCTGCAACGGCAAGTGTTCACCAGTCGTAGCCTATGAGCAGCTTCCTCAGCTCACACCAAAGAAGGATGCACACGGGGGGCCGCCCAGGTGGCAAGGCCTCGGCCTTGGGTGTGCTACCCTCTCCTGCATGTTCTGTCGTCAACTCCTCAGCGTCCAGTCTGCAGCCCCAGGCCAAGCTCTCCCAGCCAGAGTCCTCTCCACTCAGTGCCACTCCCACGTGCACCAACCCGAGGCTGTACACTCTCCTGGGCTGGCCTCATGTCCTTGTCCTGCAGGGCCCAGGTCCGCCACCTAAGCTCCTCTGGGAGCCCCTGCCCGGGTGGTGCCTACTCGGGCTCAGTCTGGGCTACTCTCCTAAGTCAAAGATACCATCATGCTGCCCAGACTGTGGGAGTGGAAGCCGGGCACAGTGACGCAGGAGACAGTGACAGACCACATGGACACAGCAATGCTGGTACAAAAGTGACACTGGCTCTTTCGGGTCCTCTTTTCCAAGATGACGAAAAAAAGAAGGAAAAACGGTCGTGCCAAAAAGGGCCGCGGTCACGTGCAGCCTATTCGTTGCACAAACTGTGCCCGGTGCGTACCCAAGAATAAGACCATTAAGAAATTTCTCATTTGGAACATAGTGGAGGCTGTTGCCATCAGGGACATTTCCGAAGTGAGTATCTTCGACGGTTATGTGCTTCCCAAGCTGTATGTGAAGCTGTGTTATTGTGTGAGTTGTGCCCTTCACAGCAAAGTGGTCAGAAATCGATCTCGTGAAGCCCGTAAGGACCGAACTCCTCCACCCCGATTTAGACCTGCTGGTGCTGCCCCACGACCTCCACCAAAGCCCAGGCAAGGGGAGCTGGGTCTTAGTGGACTGAAGAAAACTCTCTTGAGAAAGAAATAATAAATTGAATGTTATACTTTATACAGCATGTTGAGTGTACCTGCCAGAGGTGGGTTGGGTTAATTCAGCCTATCCAAGTTTAAGTTTATATTCTGAAAATGAATAAAGAGGAACACACTGAGGAAAAAAAAAAAAAAAAAGTGACACTGGCCCCTTTTACCACCAATCCCCCAGGAGCCAGATGGCATCCTCCTCAGAGCCATGAGCAGCACATGGTCAAGCAATGGGAAATCTATTCTCTGGCTACAAAGCTCCCGGGTAACAGCCTCACAGCAATGTGAAACAAACATGCACAAGTCCTGGGGAGGCCAGAGCACCTCTTCAGGCAAGCGCTTATTCTACTGAGCCATCTCCCCCGCCCCAGAGCACCTCTTCAAAGTTGGTACTTTTAAGGAAATTACTTGCTTCCACAAGACAAACTCGCATATATTTTTTGTTACTCAACTATCAAAAAATAAAGTTTTGAGAATAGGCTAAAGAACCAAATCATTCAAGATACAACTGGCCACATTCTGTCACACAATTTCTCTTTTTTTTCCAAATGAAAGTACACTTCATTATCCATGTCTCTTTTATATGCAAACACCATGTTGATGACAGGACAATGCCTGTGTCTGGGTCCTGCAGGACAGTGGGCTCCCGCAGGGCACTGCAAGCCTGGAGCCCCCCATGTCCACCATCCATGCAGCTCAGCTGGGGCACCACTTGGTGAGCAGCTAGATCTGAAATTTTGGTTTACAGTAAGAAGCTGTCCTGAGGACAGACATGGGTCTAAGATGTGCAGGAGCCACTTCTGGCTCGTGTCACTCTCTTGTCATGACACCAGACTCACTCAGACACAGCTGTGCAGCTCTGGGGGGAGAAAAATATCTAGTGGCCTCAACAGCCTCAGCTACAACACTCTTCCACAAAGATGGTGCCAAGAGCAGGGTTAACATGCAAGGAAGGTAGGCCCAGCCGCAGGGGCCACAAGGCCACAGCACTGCCACCTGCCCTGCCTGCAGGCCTGGCCTCCTTACCCTGGGGCTCAGCCCCAGGCCTGTGACTGGTGCTCCTGCAGCCAAGCAGACAGCGCACAGGAACTCACCACGCAAAGGCCTCCCAGCTCCAGGCTAAGATCTGAACCTCAGAGGGATTCTGGAGCTGTGTGCAAGGCAGCCAGAACAGCAGCAAGCCTCCAGCACCCATGGCTGGTTCATGCTGTGACAACGAAGCTAGTGAAACTCTTTTTTTTTTAAATATTTTTTTTTTATTTTAACATTTAGTGTGTGTGTGTGTGTGTGTGTGTGTG